AACTTTTAAGGGACTTTATGAAATGTGGTAGGGAACTTATTTTTGCACATTCATCTAATAAATGAATTGGTCACATTGCAACAAACTCTCGTACAGTCTCATAAATGAACGTAAATCTCATGTGATTATAAGTCAATTCGCGACATCCACTTCGCTCAGAAAAAAGTTATCGTATGATCCTTTGATTCGTCTCAAAATTGGATTATGAAAGTGACAAGGATCTTATACCGTTACGTTTTCATGTTTTTAAGATTCGGTTTCGAGATAAGATTTCTATCCTAACATGAAAAACCCAATTTCAGGAATGAATCAAACTGATTTTTAGCTCTACATCTAAATTCAATAAGAAATTAATTACAATGTTCGTGCCTCTTTTGACTGCTTGAACAAATGGGGAAAATTGTCCAAAAAATCCTAAATCCGTTGCACTTTTGTCAATTCAATCATAAACCTTTCAATTTTGGAAATTAAGTTATAAACTTTTTCATATTTTACCAATTGAATCCATCCGGCTAAATAGCAAAATTGAAATGTTTTTTTTGTGACAATTTTCCCTGGTGTGTCATTTTAGCATGTTGGACAGCCTGTTTGTCTTCCCTCTTCTTCATGATGTTGTTTGTGTTGGAGTGTGATTGATACTCTGCATCAACAGAAAGGCATGGGGTCCCGCTCCTCGGTGAGTTGGCGCGGGGTTGTCCCGGTGGGAAACATAGTGGGCAGTGCTCTGCGACACTAGAGAGCTTTTATAGTTTGAGCCCATGAATAGTTACTGAGTAAATACAATCTCTTTCTCTTGTAACTAAGAATTGGAAGAGACGTGCTAATTATATTGTAATTATCTACTAGATATAGCCCTGATTTAAGGGTGAAACGAAATAAAATCACCTTCGCCCGAAGAGCTCGCCAAGAGGGAGCTTAAAGCCTGAGCCCGTCATCATATCTAGTTAGACCAACCCTCACTCAAAAGCTTAAGCCAATGTGTTATGAGTCAATTTGGATATATCAACTACTCTACATCACATCAATTCTCCAATGTTGGACTTTTTTTTAACAAATTATACTGAAAATAGTTGCACTAAATCCTCTTTACCTTGGAGCTCCGGAAACCCTTCTTTGTGGGTATTTTCATTTTGAGAGATTTATAATAAGAATACTATTTTGGTTGGAGAATCTAACTAACATCATAATTTAGCGAGAAAAGCCAAATCCTAAACATTAATGTGAGCTTCTCATGCTGGACCTTTTGTGGGCCCAAAAAGAAACATTGCTAGAGCTTTGGCTATACACATTGGAAATCTCCATCATGCTACTCTTTGGTCTTTTACTTCGATAACAAAGTCCAAGATGTGGGATTTTTTTACACAACTCGATCTTAATAAGTTCGAGCTCATGTTCACGGTGTTTAGCTCTCAGATTATTGTCAACCCAGTTGATACGATCGACAAAATGACTTTTATTCAGAGTTCGTTTGCAGACAAAAAACCTACTAGGAAAAACGCCGTATTAGAGTTAGAATTTGAGCACGCAAATATCTCTACGTGGCCATCGAAAAGGCAACTTGGATACACATCCCACGTACCAAATGTACACGAAAACAAAACGGGAAAGTAGTCTATTATATCATCCAAAGTGATGACCTATACTTTATATTGACTAGAATATGCGTACTTGAGATCTGCAAACATGTTTTAAAGACAACAATAGACATCACAAGTCTAGCCACAGTAAATAAGAGTACGTAGAGTGCCGAGGTACCGAGTACCGCTATGGCCAAAACCGCATATCAACCACGTGTGACGACGTGAGATACCTGAGAGTTATATAACCCGATTCCATTTTTGGGTTCAAATACAGAGTTTTGTATTACTCTTATTAAGCCTATCCATCACATGTGGATTTCCCCTTCCGCTCATAAGAAAAATGAAAAACAGTAACCATATGAAGCTCCAAAATCCAAGTATAGATCAACGAATTAACACAATTTAGATATGATTTCACTCTCAATAGAAAAACCCATTTCACTATATCTGTTCAACATCAACTCTTTTATCACACAGGTACATGAAACTATAACAGATCAGATTGTACAAACATTGAATAGCATAAAGCCAAAAACATCAGCCAACCATATACCACCACACAATAAACAGATTCGAATTCACAAAAGAATGGAAAAAATGACAAACGTCCATCTCGAGAACCTATAGAAGAATGTGTACGCACGGATTACAGTTGATGAGCTCCCCTGTTTAAAGCTCTCTCCAACCTTGTCTCAAAAGGGGTGGAGTGCCAATTCACTTTCTTATCCTGCAACATCAACAAAAGAAAAAACAACAGAAATTAGTTTCCTTCCCACTTTGACCTCATGAAACCACTTGCACATCTGTGATCACCCAATACCTCTCCGTATTTGCTGGTGGTGTTTGGTATTCCTTTGAAGGAAGCCGTTGAGCAAGAATTGCCGACCGAATCCGACTGGCTCCAGTATGTTCCGACTGTCCCAATTATGGGCATCTCGTCGGGACTTCTGCTCGGTGACTTCCTCGGTGAAGACTTGGCTGAAAACTGTCTGAGTTCTTCAACAGTCAATGCACCCAAAATTGGTCTATCTTCTTGGCTCCTCGGTGAGCTCATAAATCCTTTTACCACTCTTGTCTCGACTTGGACAGAGTCCAAAGTCATTGCGCTCTTCTTTTCAATCGGTGTAGTTACTGAGGAAGGCAACCAGTTTGAAAGGCTAGCATCCACAGCTACTTCTTGGGTAGATTTCTTTGTCTCATTCGGTTTTGCCTTGAAACTGAATGATACTTCCTTCGAAGCTGGTGCAGTGTCGAATGACATCCTAGCTTCTTGGTCGAAGCTCAAATTCTCCTTTCGGTGCTTCGGCAGCGGCGTCCCTTTCGCTTTCACGGCCTTCCATTGAGTTAGATTTTCGACGGGATTCAACACTGAATGGATGTACACACCCCTATCTCGAGCATTCACATTCAACTTAGTAGGGTTCATCTCTGCTACGGGAGATTCGCGGCGCATGTGTTCAGAATTGCAAACCTCACTAGGAGTTGGGCGAACTGCCATTGTTTCTTCGATCTCATCATCGCCTTCATATATCTCACTGGAGTCCTGACCTTCATCCTCATCGCCGTCGTGGTCGTCATCATAATCATCATCAGTAAGATCACTCACATTGCAATCCAAGTCCCCATCTTCATCGTCGCTGTCTCTACAGTTCTGGTACCTGTGATTTGGAGGGTAAGACCTGATGCTGGACGCAACCGAGCTATCCTCAGAAGCACACTGAACTTGACTTAACTTTTCATAATTATCATCCGATTCGACCATATCTCGACTCTCCCGTAAAGTTTCTTCTCCAGCATCAGCATCATCATCATCAGGAGGCGACGAAACATGCTCATAGGTTTTAACATTCGAATCAAACGTTACTTTCTTCCGGGTACTGCAGCTCAATGTCTCCTCAGACTTATCACTAGACCAAATAAAACACAACTCATCTCACTACCCAGAATTATCCATACACAATTGATTCAGGTAAAAGATATGCATAAAGATCGAAGAACGTGTCTAAATTATGACAAACAAGGGAAAAGAAGAAATCACTCACAGCACATCAGAAACCGAAGCAACTGGTTTCGCCGGGATTTCTTGCCCGGACGAGACAGGAAACTGAACCGGCCGGCTACCCGAATTCCGCTGCTGACAATTAACCAGAAAGATCCAGTGAGAATCAAAGAATTCCGGCAGTGACAACTCCCGATCACCCGTTCTTCCCTCATTAATGCCAAGTGAAGGGGGAAAACCAGTTCAAAGATCCAGAAAACCAAAGAGGAAAAAAAGAAACAAAAGCAAGCGAAAGGCCAGCGATGAACAAGAGAGACGGACGGAACCGCAGCTCGACGGAGCAAAGGCTTTTCACCTGGTCGCGAGGCTGGACTTTCCCCCGCTGCTTCCGCCGCCGCCTCCCGTCTTTCGACGAGCCGAAGCACGCGAGGAAGCAACCCATCGCCGGACACCTCTCCCTCCCCCTCCCTCTCTCTCCCTCTCTCTCTCTCTCTCAAAAGGGGCTTCAAGTCCTCCGGCGAAGGAGAAGGCGGTGACGAGACTCCTGATCAAGCAGCAGCAGCAGCAGCAGCAGCATCCATGGCTTCCTCGCAAAAGCAACGATCGGATCGATCGGATCGATCAGACAGCGGAAGAGCCCGGAGCGATCTTGGAACTCTTTCGGGGGAGAGGGATTTCTAGGGTTTTGCATTCATCCATTACTCTAATAATCTCCCTCCTTCGTCGGCTGCTATTCGTTGCGAAAAAGGCAAGTGACCGTTAGGGGAGCACTGCGGCATGACGCGCAATTGAATATAAAAAAAGAAAAAAAACCAAGTGAATAAATAAATAAATAAATAATCTCCGTTTATATATTCGGGGGGGCCTACGGGACCCGATTCGGACCGTTGAACCGGGTCCCACCCGATTGGCCACAAGATAGCTGTCTCTGCTGCAAAAGCTAAGTATTTGGTCATCTTTCCTTTGCTGTTGTTACAGATACGGGTTACTCCCACAGCGCGGCGGCCGGTGCGTTGTCCGGTGGCCCCGTCGGGTAAATGAATCGAGGAGTGCTTGGCTGTTCTGTGATCGTCGGGTCCCCGTCGGGTAAATGAATCGAGGAGTGCTCGGCTGTTCTGTGATCGTCCGGTCGGTGTGACGTGCCCGTGCGAATGTGGCCTGGTTTCGCGATTCGAGTTCACACATGCTTTGGAATGGTACAGAGAGACTAATGACCCTGTCGCACGCATGCAGATTGACAAGCTCGGACTTTCTGGGCCGTCCATGTTCGGTACCGTTTAAAATGAACACCTGAGTGACGAAAGGAGCTTCTGCATGTTTTGAGCCGATCGGTGCCGGGTGCGTCGGATATCGATTCTATGTCAGAATGACTGACACTAATAGTTGCATTCAATCAGCACATAGACGGCAAGCAACCAAAGTAAAAGAAAAATTAATAATTATCGACAGAAATCAATGGATACATCGGCGCAAACCCCCGAAGAACCGGTGTCTATATTCAGATAAGTTGTGTACATGTAAAAACAGCCAATAGTTAGTTCCTCAAATCGACATTTAGCACTTAGAACTGTCGGAAAATTGAGCATACAGGAATGCATACAGTATGTCCTTTGACGTCGAAAGCCAAGGGCCTCTCAAGCAGTAGTACCCTCAAAGTAGCTGACAATTTCACAAGATAAACAGGTACAATGCTCATCTCTACAATGACAAACATAGGCTGGAAGAGAATTTTGTGCACACATCTTTTGATCCGTGGCGTCGTTTCCGGCTGCTGCAATTTCTTCACTTATGATAGCAAAACTAAATGCCAACAAGGAGCAGTAGCCATATCTTGCTTGAACAGGTCCGACTGGGAAAGCAAACAAGAGTATATAATTCTAGGTCAGTAAGCATATGAAATGAAAAGACCTTTAGAGTGACATTATTGAATCAGGAGGAAGTCTAGAGTGAGTAAAGTATCGGTAAATGAAGACGACAAAGAGCATGACGTGGATCGTGAATACAATCAGTAAATCATCGCCGCATTTTTCCTACTTTCCAGACGTACAACTACTAAAAGACTTTATCAAGGGCATTTATCGTGGCTCAAAGAGCTGGACAGTGCACAATACTTATCAGAGGCATCTTCAGTTTACGGTTCCTTGTACTTTCAGTAAGTTCATAACGTCAAAGAGCCACTGCATGGAAGGCATGCACGAGTTCACGATCTTTTAGCAATTGGAGAACTATCAGACGCCATTTTCCTTTTGACCTTCCATCAGAAAATAGACTGAAGTACCAGCTACATATGTCCTCTCTCCTACCTATATGCAAGAATCGAGACAGAACTTTTTCCACAGGCATTTAAAATGTAAAGGTCGCAAAATCTTTATGGAATCCCGTCGTCATATAATTCCTGCCCCCAAATCGGAATTCAGATTCAGAAAATTAACTCCATATGGATCTCTTTCTTCAACATATACATATTCAAGTTATACACGCACACACAGATTGCAGGTTTTTCTACAGAGTATACTTTGAAGCTTAAAATCAACCGATAAAGAAAAGTTTCCAGCTCCCAACCATCAGGGACCTATATAGAGACAATAAAAATTTTGCTGACAGGACTACCAGAGATCAGACAACATACACATAACTTTAAAACTGGTCTTTTTTAAAGGTAGCTGCATGTATATCTGTTTTAAGGCTATTTGAGTTTGATGTCCAGGAAGGATGACATCAGCTATATGGTGGTGCTTGTCATTGTTGTCAGGCAGACCAGCGAGAAACTGTTGTTACTGAATTTTTCCTAGGTGACCAAAATGACATGAATGTAACTAGCAAAGGAAGACCAGAAATTGGTCCTGACGTATCCGCATTTTCTACACCGTGTGCTCTAATGCACAAGATTCATCAAGCTTTTGAATAAGCTAATGATAGGACCAGAATGATTTACCTCAGAAGAGTTAAGGAGGAGAAGACCTCCGGCTTTTCCTGCAGATAACCACCTGAATTTAACATTATATCAGACAAACTCCTCATCATCCTCGTCATCATAGTCAGACTCTGATTCACCATCACTCCTAGATTTCATAAACCTATTCATATCGAATGATGGCAATGCATCCATTTCTTCCAGATCAATACTGTCATAATCCATCCTTTCCTTGAACTTCTCATCAGAACAGTTGAGCAGCCAGGCAAGAGAACATTTTAAACCCTTCTTAGCAATCCTTCTGTACCGTGGTTTTATAGTGGATTCGAGACCATAAGTGAAAAATGATGGGAAAGCGACCAAGTCCTCCAAAGGTTGTCCCATTTCTTTACTAAAGTAATCGAAACTGAACTTCATTATATCTATATTCAAGGCTAGCAGCTGAGGACACCCAACAACCATATCCTTAACTTGTTGCAACGAAAATCCGCAATCCTTGAGAAAGTCCACATGCTTCACCACAGCAATATTACTGAGGCTGACAACCTGTGGCATCCTCTCGACAACTCTGCCGAACTCTTCATCACTCAACTCGGTTATTGAACCAAGCAAAGACCGCTGATTCAGAAGCTTAGGCTTCAAATCAATCCCTATAATCGCAGGATACTGCACAACAACCGAGGGAACCAATGTCCTCCTGACATGAAATTCTAACAGCGACTCCACATTGGGAATTACCGTGTCCTCTAATCCGAACCCAAGTAAGTGAGGACTCTTCTCTACCAATCTAGCCACAGCTAATCTCGGAATGCCCAAGTATTCAAGATACTCCACAAAGGGCTTAATCACGCGGCCCACTCGCATCCCTAAAATCTCTGGATATCTAGTCAGAACACCCCCAATCTCTCTTCTACCGACACCAATCCCGACCAAGTAAGCAACCGAAGTACTCATAGTCCCCTCAAGCTTAAACCCCAGAACTTCCGGGTACTTTTCGAGAACGCGAGGAACGTCGTTCAGCTTAATGTCCATACCTTGGAGGTAGTTAACCACCGGAGCCAGGTCGACCACGACACTCGCGTGGAGAACCTGGGGATACCTCCTCAGAAACTCGACCAGCGTCGACTTCCGGACGCCTAACTTGCCGAGGTAATCGAGCACCGGAATCATGTTCTTCTTCACGCTGCAACCCAGGACGAGAGGATAGTTATTGATGTCCTCGATCGTGAGCCCCAAATTGTGAAGAAAATCGATTCGCTCCCTCATGACCTCGGCCGTGACCGGAAGGTCCAGCCCGTCGAGCTCGTCGGGGACGATCCCGATCCCCCGGAGGAACTCGTAAACCCTGGCGCGGTTCTCCATCCTCTCGCTCTTCATCTCCGCCAAGCTGGGGCGGCTGTACAGGGACGAGGAGGAGGACGAGGAGCCCCTATCCCTCCGGCCCAGCCGGACCCTGTTCGGCCCCGCCGCGGCCGGGCCACCGTCCGACCCGGAGGGCGAATTCCGCTCCGAGACGGAGGTCTGGGACCGCGAGACCTGCCAGATTCGGCGGTCGCGGCGACCCGGCAGGGGGAGGTTGGTTCGCCATGGGAGCCGGACGGGGAGGTCCTGGTGGGCGGCGAGCAAGAAGGCGGGTTTCGCGACGCCGGAGCAGCTCCGGGAGAGCATGTCTGGAGGACACTTCCCAAGAGGGGTGCAAGAATCAGCAGAGCGCCATAGAAATTGGTTCTTGAAATCCTCCGATCCGAGGTCGAGGAGACGGAGGGAGAGACAGAGACAGAGAGACGAGGATGATTCGAGGACTCCGAGGAAGTGATAAGGGCATGTCGGGGAAGTGAAACAGTGAGGGTTCTAGTTAAGATGTTCACACAGCAGGGTTAATTAAAAAAAAAAAGCACTAATTTTAGGTCGAGAGACAATTTTGGCCCAAACTTTTTTTTGTTCCATAAAAAAGCATCAACTTTAGGTCGAGGCACAATTATGGCCCGAACTTTTTTTTGTCCCGTAAAAAAGCACCAACTTTAAGTCGATAGACAATTCTGGCCCGAACTTTTTTTTGTCTCGTAAAAAAGCACCAACTTTCACTTAAATCTCAAATCTGGCCCTTATTGACTTAAAACCATTGATTTTCCAACTTGACTATTCCACCTTAGCAATAAATCCACGTGACTTGCTGACTGGATTTAAAGTATTATTCATTGTCATATTCTCTAAACCACAGCTTGAAGAATAACGGTGAAACTGTTCGTCTCCTTCACTTCACTGACAAGTCAAAAATATCTCCAGATTGAATCTTTTTGGCCGAACTTCATCGTTTTGTCGTAATTTGAAGCTGTAGACCACCGCCCGTCGACAGACGCCATGGAAGAGATTCGCCAGGCTCACCACCATAACTTTTTTTCTCAAACAAGGGTAACTTCAGACAGAAAGTCAATGGAAGGCCAAATTTGGGATTTAAATGAAAGTTTGTGCTTTTTTACGAGACAAAAAAAAGTTCGAGCCAGAATTGTCCCTCGACCTAAAGTTGGTGCTTTTTTACGAGACAAAAAAAAAGTTCGGGCTAGAATTATCCCTCGACCTAAAGTTGGTGCTTTTTTATGAAACAAAAAAAAATTCGGGCCAGAATTGTCCATCGATCTAAAATTAGTGTTTTTTTTTGGAATTAACCCCATAGTAGTATGATTAGTTTGGTAAACTCGTAGCGGGCTTATTGAGAATGGCCCCGACCTAGTTCCCGACCTTTGTAGTGGGCTTGGTGTCGGGCCGTGTTCTCCCGACACGCGATAACTCATGATTGCTCCGCATTCCCGGGCACGTGATGGCATGTCCACCGTCAATTCCTTAAGCTAGAATTGCCACGTAGACAGTAATCTCATAAACTCGATTCTTATCTCTTTAATCCTCTCATTATGAATACCGAACCACTTTATATTTTTTTTTTTAAGGGGACTCATTTGGACTTCAGTCGCAAAGCACTAAAATATTCGCCACAACAAGTAGCTTGCTTGATATTCCTCGTCTGCTGCCCGACACCAAAGTCCCACTAGGATTGTGAACTCCTCCTCTCACGCCCTCTCGACTTCGTCTCACTGTTGTGTGATGCCGACTCTTCCGCAAGGTTAATGAATCTGGGGAACAAACCTTCTCAACACAATATTTTGTGCAAGCTTGTTTGGAATGCTCTCATTTTTTGGTGGCACGACAGAATAGGGATATATGCACTAGAAAATGTGAAATTTGTCACGAAAGTATATTTGAGTCGTAAAACTTGTAAAAAGTGCAATCAAGTTTTAAAATTTATCAAATCAATTCAATTAAGTCTTTCCATTAACTCTGTCACACTTGACTAACGGAAAATGCCAACGTGTCATTTTTTAATATTTTCTCTCTCCTACGTGGCGATAATGTAACTCAATCATGAAAGGGAAAAAACCACCAAAAATCCCGAACTTTGCCATCTGTGACACATTTACCCCGAACTTTTTTTTGTGACACCAAAAACCCCGAACTTTGCTTTTTGTGACACATTTACCCCAATGTATTTAGTCCATGGGCATTTTCGTCTTTTTTGCTTTTTTTTTTTTTTTTTTTTTTTTTTCTTTCCGGCGAGGGGGGGCCTCGCCGGCGTCGGGCGAGGGCTGCCCTCGCCGGATCCGGCGAGGGGGGCCCTCGCCGGCGTCGGGCGAGGGCGGCCCTCGCCGGCGTCGGGCGAGGTTCGCCCTCGCCTGGGCGAGCGAGGGCGGCCCTCGCCCGACTCAGGCGAGGTCGACCTCGCCGGCGTCGGGCGAGGGTCGACCTCGCTCGAGTCGAGCGAGGGCGCCCTCGCCGGATCCGGCGAGGGGGCCCTCACGGCGTCGAGCGAGGGCGGCCCTCGCGGTGTGGGCGAGGTTCGCCCTCGCACGGGCGAGCGAGGCGGCCCTCGCCCAACTCAGCGAGGTCGACCCTCGCCGACGCCGGCGAGGGTCGACCTCGCCCGAGTCGGAGCGAGGGCGAACCTCGCCGACGCCGGCGAGGGTCGCCCTCGCTGGGCGAGGTGAGGGCGGCCCTCGCCCGATCCGGCAAGGTCGACCTCGCCGCGTCGGGCGAGGGTCGACCTCGCTGAGTCCGGCGAGGCCGCCTCGCTCGCCCAATCGATGGCGACCTCGCCGGCGTCGGGCGAGGGCCGCCTCGCTCGCCCGGCGAGGGCGACCCTCGCCTGCGGCCCTCGAGGTTCGTCCTCGCACGAGTCGGGCGAGGTTCGCCTCGCCGGGCGAGCGAGGGCGGCCCTCGCCCGACTCAAGCGAGGACGACCCTCGCTCGGCGCCGGCGAGGGTCGACCTCGCCCGAGCCTCGGGCGAGGGCCGCCTCGCCGCCCGGGCGAGGGCGAACCTCGCCCGACGCGGCGAGGTTGCCCTCGCCCGACTCAAGCGAGGTCGGCCGGCGAGGGCGGCTCGCTCGCCGATCTGGGCGAGGTCGACCCTCGCCGGCGTCGGGCGAGGGGCCGCCTCGCTTCGCCCCAGCGAGGGCGAACCTCGCCCGACGCGGCAAGGCCCGCCCTCGCCGGAAAGGAAAAAAAAAGAAAAAAAAAAGAAAAAGCAGAAAAGACGAAAATGCCCATGGACTAAATATATTGGGGTAAATGTGTCACAAAAAGCAAAGTTCGGGGTTTTTGGTGTCACAAAAAAAAGTTCGGGGTAAATGTGTCACAAATGGCAAAGTTTGGGGTTTTTTCCCATCATGAAACATAAGGCTAAATGATGTCGTTTTGGTCTAAATATCATTTTTAATACAGATTTTATTTAAATTAAATTTTAAAAATAAGATAGATTTAAAAAAAAAAATAAAAGGAAGAAACCGGAGTTAAGGGCTGCAGCCAGCGCCGCCGCGGCAGCCCCTCCCTCACTGGGAAGGGGATGGCCGACAGGAGTCACTGGCCCCGGCCAGGGCCGACAACCCTCACCAACCGCAGGCGAGCCCTCAACCGAGTTTAGGCCCCTAGCCAGGGCTCGGCGACCCCCTCCGCCCATCCCTCACCCTCGCCGATGCTTCCTAGCAATGGTGGGACGACGACGTCGAGGGCTTGCAGCCCTCACCGTTTGGTTTCTCCCTCTTTCCTTTGTTTTTATTTAGCTTATTTTTAAATTGAATTTAAATAAAATTTATATTGAAAATTAAATTTGGACCAAAACGACGTCGTTTTAGCCACGTCATTGCCACGTAGGATAAAGAAAACAATATAAAAAAAATGTCGGCATTTTTCGTTAGCCAAATTGGACAAAGTTAACGGAATAACTTGATTGAACCAATTTGACAAGTTTTAAAACTTGATTGCACTTTTTGCAAGTTTTCAAACTAAACTGCATTTGCATGACAAATTTTAGAACTTTCAATGCGCATATCCCAAAGAAATAAGTAAATTTTCAATGTTCTTTTTCGCTCAATAGATACGTGGTTTAGTAACTTTCACCGTAAGCCTTAGTATCTTGGTCCTGATAACCCTTCTTATCAAATTAGTAACTTTTCAAATGGACCAAATAAAGCGAAAAGGAAAGTACAATTTGAATTGCGGACACGAGATTCTAGCAACCTCTCTGGTAAATGTAAAATGCAAGTATAGATGTACCTGATTTTCTATAGTAAAACTTCCGTTTCTCACATTTGCTGAACTTACGAATAAACGTTCCTTCTTTCAATATAAAGATGATTATGCAAGTATAAAAACATGTCATTTTATACTTGGGTTAAATATACTTGAATTTTTAACTTATTTCATACCATTTTAGTGGTTAAATAATGATATAACATGTCCACTGTTATTTATATTCGAAGATTTTGGTTATAAAATATCATTTTCACAGGTAAATTCGATTTTCTTTTGATTTTTCCATAGAACACAACGCCAATTTTAACTTATATTATAAGAGTCCTGGATTTTTTTCACGTACTTTTAAGAAAAACAATAATATATATAACCGTTTCCCATGCGGTATAATTGTCTTCCTAACAGAAGTAACAAGTAATAATTGGGATACAACGCACGCAATCTCTTTATGAGACGCTTGGCAGCAATGGAAATTAAAATTACGGGCCTATTACGGGTTTTTTTTTTTTTTGGTCAAAAGCCTATTACGGGTTGACTACTATAATTTTTCTTTTTAGAGTAATACATATAACATGGCCCCCCTAAGTAATAACTATTACAACATGGTTAATACCCCTTTCTCATTTCTCCTATTCAGCAAGTTCAGGATTGAATTGGCTGCTGTATAATAAGTTTAAAATTTTTTGGACAATTTTTCCGGGAAATGTTCACTAATCCATGATTATGCTCTTAACAATGGTGTCCAGATTGATTGCATCGACGTATACCATGGTGAGATAACCATGGATGGTACAAAGCAATTACATCCTCATCATTTTCAGGTTTCGTCGTACCATCCGCGGTCACATCTTAAAAAAATAGTAAAATCAACCGGACGGCTTGGAGATTACTGATAAGAAGGCGAAAAGGACATTGTGATCTAGAAACTGTTTCATCTTTTTTATAGGATTAAACCTGCTTTTCACATGATGTTTATGTGAATCCCATCTTGTGATTCGTTGATGAGATGTTGACTATCTCTATGGCATGAACCACCAAGAGTTAACCTAATCTGTGTTATCTTTCTTAAAATTAGGCAGGTTTTAAGACACTCTTTTCCATGTCTCAAGCAAATGTACTGAACATCCATTTCGTCATCTAGAAAGGACTCGTTCAAAGATAATGGAAACTGCGAAAGCTTGACTCAACTCCAAGACCAACAACATCCAATCTTTTTCATGGTGAAGCAATCTTAATGTGACATTTACTGCTACG